TCATAGTCTGCTGTTTGATTTTGGACTTGCCCGAGTCGATTGGATTCTAGACTTATGTTGAGTAGGCCAAAATGCCCCAAAATTGCTCGAGTCTCATTGTTTTCATAAATTTTAAAGAGTAATGATCCTATAAGACCCTTCCTCACTCAAGTGTATAGGACCCTAAAGGATCACCATTAAAGTTGTCACGGATCTCTAGAAAAATTATCACATGGGTGAGACTTAACTTTTCTATAAATCCGTGCCAAATTTAATGGTGATCCTCTAAGTCCTACACACATGCGTGGGGGAGGGTCATATAAGATCATTACTGATTTTTAAAACTTTTTTAATTAAAATTTGATGATTTCACTTGGATTTGCCCGGGTCAAACTAAGGGGACCCAAATTCAAGATCCCAACGAGTCGTGGCCCAAATCTGACTTTTTAAGTACTGAGAGTAAAGGTTGCAGCTTCGACTAGTTGGATTGTTCTAAAATGTGAAGACGAAGAGGCATGGCAACATGGAGCTTTCTTAGTTGTTTAATTTGTGGGGTGATTTCTTGGTTGATGTCATCACAGCTTTATACATTTTTGTTTTGTCCCTTAGGCTCAATTTGGGTGAGGGAGGATATGGCTTCAAACACTTAGTTTGTCTAACAAAAAATTAGGATTTGAAGCTCTAAAATAAGTGTATATTGTTAAAGATTATCTAGACCGTCTATTTCACCATAAAAATAAGTCGTTATAGAATCTCAAGATCTATATTATTTTTTGAGTTTCAAATTTTATTGTCACTGTTGGAAATTGATTTTTTAGAGCGATCATGAAGATTTCTGACTGTTAAAAGTGTTTTATAAACTTTTATTATATTAATAAAATATTTCATTAATTGATATTTTCCTCGAAAGGATCCCCTTATAAAAAATAAAATTCATATCTACTCCGTTTGGAAGATTTAATATAAAAAATTTCCTTGATAGGAGTCCCTTGTACAAATAAAGTTGATATCAATTCGATTTGGAAGTTTTAATAAATATTTCAGTATTTATTTATTTTAACGTGATATAAATTTTATAAATGAGGTTAGGTTTTTGAAATCAGATAATTAGAGTAATTTTCTTTTATGAGCATAACTTTAAAATGTCATAATGATAAGTATTTTTACATTTTTATAAAAAAGACAATAAGATCCTTTATAATTTTCATGAAATATGTAACTAACTTAAAATTACAAGTAACTACATGTTTATATAAAAAGACAATATGATCCTTTATAATTTTCATGATATATGTAACTAACTTAAAATTACAAGTTGTTTATTTTTTGGAAAAGGTTCATATAGAGCCGAGGCTCTAAACAATCAAATTAGAGTCCACCTCAAAAATTTCACTAGAAGCGGTTGTTTTGATGCCCAAATATCATCAAATTGATCATCTCGACGTCAAGATGCATGGACATGAGAAACAAATGGATTTCAAGTTTTGTAAATAGTGCATCTTACAACGCATTTTTTAAATGCCAATTTTCAAGATTTTCAGGTTTTTGTAGATCTGATCGATCTACACTACTTTTGAAGCTTTAAATATTATAATTAAAAATAAAAATATATTTTAAGGCTATCACAAAGATTTTCAGTATTGAAATTACATTTCTCGATGCTATTTGAAAGTGCGCTGTAATTTGATTGTTTAGAGCCTTGGCTCTATACAAACCGCATCCTTTATTTTTTTGATAATTACTTTTTTAAAAAATGCATTATAATATTTCATTAATATTTCAAAAATCCTTTGTAAATGTTAAATACAACTTTCAATATTTTTGTTTTTTATACAAAATTGTAAATTTTTGAAAATATTCATATGTACAATAATTTCGTTTTATGACCATAATTTTAAAGGAAAAAGTTTATACAAGGGTGAGGCCCAAAACAATCAAATTAAGATGTGCCTCAAAAATTCACTATAAGAGGTTATTTTGATGCTAAAACATCCTCCAATCGATCATCCTACCCTCAAGATGTATGACATGAGAAGGAACATATTTCAAGTGCTGGAAATACTGCATCTTGTAATACATTTTCTAGATCATCGATTTTCAATATTATCGAGTGTTCATAGATCTGCTCGATCTACTTTATTTTTGAAGTTTTCATTTTGGTAGTTACAAATGAAAATAAAATTTCAAGTCATCACAAAAAATTTTAGTACTGAAATAACATATTCCACAATATTTCGAGGTGCACTTTATTTTGATGGTTTAGGGTCTTAGCCTTATACAAACCACACCCAATTTTAAAAGCGAGGTTCTTCAAATTTGATTAATATATCTAATTCAGTTTAATGTTATAATTATAAATAAAATTTTTAACAATTATTTGTGATCCACGTTCTAAATTTGATTTAACAAGATTCATATTGTAACGACATTTTATAATTTAAATTTAGCGAAGTTCATAATTAGAATTTTTAAAAATAGTGTAGATAATTTATTAAGTTAAATTTTTTTTTTATCAATTATAGTTTTGAAAATGTAAATTGCACATAATTTCTTATTAACAAAAATTATAATTCCTTTTTTAATTAAAAATAGAGCTCAAATTTATGGATTTAATTAAATTATAAAATTAATATCAAACTTCTTAAGGCCACTTTTAGTGACAAGAATTTATCTATTCAAAATATCATTTTAAAATCAACTTTGAGGTGTGATTTGAATAATATAATATATTTTACAATTATTTTTAGTTGACAGGAAATACATAAAGTCATGCGTATTTTTAATTATTTATTCATCACTTTAGCGATCATATTAGGAGGTACGCCCAAAATT